TATTTTTGGCAGTTTTCAGTTATTTCAACAAAGAAATTTAAATTTATCTTGTGAATCTAGATTTTGGTTTGTAATGTAATTTTTTGAATTATTCTAAAAACGGCAAGTGATCTGTTCGATAAGCTGACAATTTCAATCCGGTCCTTTCATTCTTCAGATTAGAATAATTAACACAATAAATAAGTAAACGATATGGGTATATAGTATATATCGTTATTTAGCGTATAATGTTCACAAAATTACAAACACAAATAATACGGTAATTAGTATAATAAGTAAATACGAAGTAATTTCGTAAAAAAGAGAATATTTGAAACTTTTAACAGAAGGTGCTTGAATCGTTGAGGAAAGATTTTCACGTGTAATATTTTTTATTATTACACAAAACTGTATGCAGTATCATTTTATGTTATAATTTTATCCATTTATAATGCACGTAGCACGTGTAATACTCGTTCCGATTCTTCTTGATATGCAATATACGATTATTACTATATAGATGTATATAGATACAATGTGTTAAAGATATTTGAAAGAAAAGTTCTAACTCATCAAAGGAGACACACTATGCTTTTATATGATGATGGCTGTATTAAAATTTTTCAATGAGAACCTGAATTTTTTATTTCATATCCTTATAGTTCAAACATTTTCAAAACTACAAACTTCAGCCTTTATTGTCATCTTACTTTTCATAGTGCAATCAATGGTAAATCATACTACGATAGTGAATAGAGCAAAAGATACAAGTTTGTAAAATTCTGGAAACAATGTTTCAACAATAGCTACGAAGAAAAGTAACAAAAAAATGCAAGTTCCTATTTAAAAATTTTAATACGACAAGTTTTTTTCGAAGAATACAATTTTTTCTTCGAACATTCATATTTTCCAAGACAAGATTTTGAGCATCTTGATAAACCGAATAGCATATACATATGTTTCGTGATTTTCGCATTACTGGTTATATCTCGTTCACTTTCAAACTTTTAGTTATGAACGAACTGTTAAAAGATTCCACCCTACAAAAAGTTGAAAAAAAAAAAAA